CCGGTTCCCCTCCGCGAGCAGCAGCAGGACACGTCGGGCCAGCTCTGAGGCTCGCGTGGCGGATTCACAGCCGTTGGGGCTGTGACCCATCCTGGCTGCGTGATGGAGAAGTGATCCTGCACAGCTCGGGTGGTGAGCGGGGTGAAACCGCACCAACGCCGCGTCCGCCCGGGAGGGTGGTGACCCGTTCAGGCCCTCTGCACAGCAGCATCTGCAGATCCTTCGGCAGTGCCCGGGTGCCAGGTCCCGGTGTTGAGCTGGGGGATGTGCCGGGCACCCGCCCGTGACACCACCGTGACACCTTGTGCTCATCTCACCCTGCCACGCCAGGGCTGAGCGCCGCACACACGGCGAGCAAACGCTGCAGCGCGCCACCCGCAGAACAGGCGTGCGCAGCAGACACATGTCCAAACTGCTCGCACAGCCACCCTTGCTCCCAAAAAGTACCAAGCCCAGGCCTTGACAGCAGCTATGCAACACACACAGTGAGCTGACTTATGTCAGGCAGGCACTGGGCACCCTTGGGCCTCCTTTTTCCTCCTTCCTTTCATACCTGAGGGACAAACTTAGTGACTATTTCCTTGGCAAGCGAGGCCTTGGCTGGAGATGACTTTTTACGGGGTAGTACATGAACATTCACACTTTCTTCCTTGTGACATTTCCCTCTGCTTCTGGGAATGGAAATACTCAGTTTGCTGCCCAGATTTTGCTGCTGCTCCTTGGCTTCTTGCAGAGAGGGTGAGCAGCCCCCATTTGGCATGTGTCACAGCAGGCCACCATGGTTAAGTGGCAGGTGAGGGACACCAAGGTGCCATGGAAGGGCAGTGTGGTTGGGTTGCTTCTAGGACTTCTGGAGATCTGGTAACTCTACCTCCACCTTCCTCCTTAGTTAGTGAGATACGGGGAGAGATGTCCATAGCACGGTTGGCATATGGGTCCTCCTGAGTGTCCCTGCCCGGGGGCCTGCGGGAGAAGTGGTTACGCGAGACCAAGCTGTTTCTGCCCTGGCCTCCTCCTCTAGGTCCGGCTGGTGATCGCAGAGAAGGGGCTGCCCTGTGAGGAGCGGGATGTCAGCATGCCCCTGATGGAGCACAAGGAGCCCTGGTTCATGCGGCTCAACCTTGGCGAGGAGGTGCCCGTGATCATCCACAGGGACAACATCATCAGCGACTACAACCAGATCATCGACTACATGGAGAAGAACTTCACAGGAGGTAAGAGCAGTGGGCAGAGATGTCCTGCCACGCTGGGTTTGGGGGGCTCCAAGGCCTCATTCAAATGTGCTGTTTACCAGATGCATCCACTTTTTGTTGGAAAGTTTCAGCTTCCTCTCAAAACAGCAACAACCAACCAGCCTTCCCCAGACTTTTACATTTTCCTATGAAAATGAAGGATTTCCTGCAGAAATCCCCAAATGTCCTTTTGGAAATGCTGCTGCGGTGCCTTGGAGGAGTTGTGGCTGCGTGTCCCTTCCTGCCATAGAGGCTATGCTCCCAAACTGAACGTTTTCCCACCAGACACTGCTGCTCAGAGACCTCGCGGTGCGCTGGAGCTGCTCACCTGGAGAGCCCACCCTGCTGTGTCCCAGGAGGCACCACCTGGCTGAAACACTTCTGGCTTTGTCCACGTTCTTCCTGACTCCCTCTTCCCTCCTGCAGCAATGCGGAGGTAACACCGCATCTGTAGCACAGGTAGTGCCGGGTGCTCAGGTCATATCCGTAAAGTGTAAGCTTGTCTCCTTCCTAGTGGAGGGAGATACCAGCACCAGGAGATGGAAGCAGCTGTGAAGACAAGCCCTAGTGCCCCTAGTCACAACCAGTTGCTATCCAAAACCTTCTTCAAAAATGCCACTATTTCTTGAGGTGTCTTGCAAGGTTTCCATGCCCTTTTGCTTTCAGCTTGGCTGTAAGAGCCTCTTTTTGAGCTATTTTAGATTCTGGCCTTGGGGAAAGGCGTGAAAAACCCAGTGCCTCGCCACAGCTCACCCAGCTGAGGATAGGTCGGTGCGAGTCTGGCTCTGCTGTCCCTCTCCCCCTTCCTGGGATGTGCAGAGAGCACCAAAACGGGATTTGGACACACACCTAAATGGAACCTGGCTGTAAGACAGCTCCCACTTAGTTAAACCAAAAGCCCACCAACAAGGTCAGATGTTAGCTCCGGGTTTTCCTCACCACAGTAACTGGGGATTTCTGCCATTAACTCAGCGGCCATAAACACCTGCAAAATTACAGGTCTTTTCCGGGGTGTCCTGGCACCCAGGCTCTCTGTGCTTCCAGCCTCCACTTACACCTAGACGACCTGGTGGGTTTAATGTCCGCAGCGTGTGCCGGCTGTGCACGTGAGACAACTTTTCCCCCAAAATATTTGTACAGCAGCAGCAGGGATCAGCCCCAGGACAGGAGCAGCGCTGGTCCCGGGCCGAGGCAGACCTGAGCCCACCAGCGATGACCAGGGCAGACCCACACGGGAGCGTTTCAGAGGCTTCAGCGCGGGGCCGCGGCGGGCGGCGCTGCCTCCCCAAGCAGCCGCCCTCCCTCCCTGGGAGGCCGGGGGAGCGGGGGTCCCCGGTGCTGCCCCGGAGGGGAGGGCTGGGAGAAGACTGCCTCTGTACAAAGCCGGCAGCACCAGGGAGCATGATGTGACTCAAATCCAGAGCGGGGGAAAGCCGGGAGAGCAAACCCCTTTATGCACCCGCGGAGCCGGGCTGCGGTGCAGTGCCCGGCTGAGCGCGCTGCCCTACCTCCCGCAGCGCCCGGTGTGCCGGGACGGTGCTGAGGGCCACCGCGGCGGACGTCTGCCCAGCCCCTGCG